GAAAAATTTTACATTCCCTTATCCTGTCAGTAGCAGTACTGGGTCAGCTGTCCTAAGTTATGCAAATTAATGTTAACACAGTAGACAATCTAGATCTATTTTCTTATACTGGAATAAAAAGACAATGTATTTGAAAATATATGTGACTCGACTGGGCATATTTTGTGACATTTGGCTTGAAACATAATTTCCCACTGGACCAGTGGAATTTCTGAATTGCTTGGTTTGAACTTGTATACACTTCTTTGATGATGATATTATCTATTGCTTAACATAACTTGTAGTGTATTCTTTGTTTTGGTTTGGGGTTTTTTGAATAATATTTCTGTTACTCTCTACTTAGCACTACATATGCTTTTCATAAGTAATTTTTCTGATGTGGAAGCTTAGAAAGTCTGTCACTAGACTATTTACTGTGTTATAGATTATTGTTTGACAGTGACAGTAATGTGCCAAAATGCTTTATTTATCCTCAGACAAATAATACCCAAAGTGGTATGAGGAATGAACAGTTTAAAAAAAAAAAAAAAAAAATCACAAAATCTTTGATGACGCTTGCAAAGAATGATGTGATCTCTATCCAACTCCTGTTTGTTACAGGTGAAGGGTTTCTACAGTCTTGGAGACAGTTGTGCAATATGTCTATGGTGATTAATCAAGGCTTCACCTCAATGTTTCTACTTCTCCATCTTTAGTTGGAGAAAAATAAAGGTTTCAGGTATTCATCTATATTTGAATTTTACTTAATCTTTAAAAAGTTACTTTAAATTTTCACCATACTGAACAATCATTTCATGTGTCTGAAAGTGTTGCTCTTTTAGAAATTCTATTGTAGAAATTTATTGGCAGCTGCTGTTGTCAATAAATTATAAATAATAAATGTTTGGCCCTTGTCTAAAAAATACATAAAATACATTTAGCCACAGACACAAGCCAAAATGAAGACATGTGAGTCTCCATGGTATCTAGCATATATTTGACTCTCTGTAGGCTTTGTGACCTATTAGAGTGTCTATATTAAGTATTGCATGCAACTGAAATCCTAGAATCACTCACGCTGGGACAGAAGTGGGTGGTATTTTGGAAACCAAACTTGCAAACAATTCCAAGTTTTACAGGTGGCCCCCATCCCAAAACCGGTCTGTACCAAAACTGACACTGAAAGTGGGATCTGAATTTTGTATTTAGGTCCATGTACATTTTAAAAAAACATCCTTCGTGTGGCTTTTACTTTTTTCTCTCTTCCTGATTTGCTTTTATATCCTTAAGAAATTCTCCTAAAGTTTGTCAAGCCACAGTGCAAGTACCAAAGCAGATTTCTTAGGGTTGTCATCCAGTACTAGGACCTGTGTTAGCTAAGCTTCTCAGAGTATAAAACTAAACAAAACCAGTTTCTGTTCAGCCCTGTATCTCTACACTGTTCAGCTATATTATTCACGCACTCCTGGCAGACAAACTTCTCAAAGTTCCCCAACTTATTTAATCTAAAAATAAATCTTCTGATATGATTATGTCTTTACTGAAGGAAATTTATCACATGTTTTGTAACCAAAAAGCAATAGTTATCACCAGCTTGGTTTCAAATGAAGTTGTTTAGCTTCATTATCATTATTATTTTATTAAAAAAATAGTTTAAAAAATACTAATTTCAGTTTCACAAATTGGAAGGTCCTGAATACTCTGACTTATGCAAGGAAGAACATAATTTTCCTGTCTGTGACTTATCTTGGAGGAGATGTTTACGTTTCTTGATACAGATAACAGTTTTAAAAATATGTATGCATACATGTAATAAAATATATTCAATATAATTTTTAATTTATGATTGAAAATCCAGCAAAGGTGCTTAAAACCATTCTCAAAATACCTCAGGATTTAGACATACTTCACAATTCCTCTCAACTCCCATGTCTATCCTTACAAAGTTGCTCATCTTTGACAGTCTCTTTTCTAGACCTGATGCCTCGCTTAGGTTGTACTTTGTTTCGAATATGAGTGTCCCTAGTTAAAATCCTGAAGTTTTTAAGGGGATGCATCCTTTGCTAGCTCTACAGCTTTCTAATTCAAAAATCTTTATCACTCTCAATGATATCTAGCAACCTTTACTTAACTTAATCAAGTACTCTCTTTTGTCAGTGGAAAATATCTCTCAATGTTACTGGCTGTTCCTTTTCTCCCTACCACTAGTTATTTTGTATACTTCCATAACAGCATCCCACATACCTACTTTCCTATCTAATAGTTCTGCATTTACCACTCTCCTCCCATGGAAATCGTTCCAGGTCTCTAATTATTTCCATTGTCCTATTCTTTTCTGGACCATTTCCATTTCTGCTATGTCCCTTATGAAATTAGATGACTGAGATTTACCAAAGCATAAGACAGAAGGGGTGTTGCTGATTTATGTATCACATTTTGTTATTCTCTGTCTCCCAATAAACACCAGTTCTCACAGCATATTTTATGTTTTGAATATTAGTGCACACATGAAGACTTATGTAAAACTATCTAAACTTCATATTTTCATGTGACTTTTAGAGTAGCTCCTGCGGTACTTCCCAGCACACAAACTTTTCCATCTTTCCATCTTCAACATGTATTTGCAAAAACTGAAGCTGGTATTAATTTTTGGTACAACCAAATGCTTTAGTATTCAGCCTTTATTAGAGAGCTCTTGTGCTCCAGGATAATATTATTAATTTAACTTAAGCTGTCTGGCTCCTTTTTCAGCTGTGAATGTACTTAACAAAAACACTGGTCAGCTAGACTTAAACAGACAGAAAGTGGAAGCATTTCTGCAATTATTTCTCTTTAAATTACACTCTTTAGTTAAGAAAGGTATTCAAGGAAAAATCTAAACATGTTAATACACGAAAGGTAATGGAGTTCAAAATCAAGGGTTTGAGTCAGGCAGTTAAAATGGTATTCAAGCATTTATCTGTGCTAAGCATCTTTTGCTTCCACATTTCCTCAGAAACAGAAAAAAACTACTGAAAAGTCAGGTTTTCAGGCACCTGAATTTGTACCCAGGAGCCCATTTTGAAACATCCACTTCTGTAATCCTCACTCAAAGATTTTATAAGAAGCAGCTGAGGAAATTAAGTTCAGGGAAAATGTTGGTTTGTTTGGGTTTTGTTCTTTGAATCAAATTCAAAATTGTTAGAAAATATTTCTAACCTAAAAAAGAACTTGCAGTATATCTCTGTACGAGAATAATATATCTTTCATTTTAATATTAATTTTAAAGTGCTCCTGAGCTCTATTAGAACAGTCTGAAGACAGCTTTGCCAGGTTTCTTTGCCAAAAAAACATAAAACATAATAAAGGATTTGCATTGCATCACAATGTTTCTCTCCTGATATGAGAACAGTCTACTATGAAGGATGTTATTTCATTCAAAGTGTTGGGGAACTATATAACAGAATAAGCAGAAGGGAACGTTTAGAATGAACATGAGGGGGAAAATAATGTTAAAAAAAAAAGTCTATTAACATGGGCCCAAGCATGCAACACTTCCAGAGGAAGAGATGTAATCCTTGTCGTTGGAGCAGTTTAGATTTAAGCCACACAAGTTGCATGGGAATATATAGTAGAGAGCAAACCCACACTGCCTTGAGCTGAATAGTTTGAATGATCTAATACGTCTTCTGCCTCATAAACAGAGTATTGAATAACGATGCAGGTGACAAGGTTTTGTTTGGGGGGACAGGGTTGTTGTTTGGCAGTTTTGGTAGGATTTTTTGCTTTTTAGTTTTTAGATAATTTATGGCACTTAGAGCTCTAGAATTACAATGAGCAAATATGCTGGGATTTTTCGACTGCCGGTACTTAACCTCACGTAGACCTCTTTCATCCACACTTTCACACTCACTGAATGACTAGCACAACCCACACATCTACAGTTTCTCTCTAAGTTTACCCTGTACCCTTTCTCAGAAGGGTTTTGATGGTTTCTTCCTAGATGGATACTATTTCCTCAACTATTCCCTCAGTATTTTTAACCCTCTGCATGCTATACTAGGCACAGCTGTTAATACTCTTTTAGCTGCTATTCTTAGCATATGCTTTCTCTCTCATAGTCTCCCTTATATGTCTTCTTCCCTCTCCTCTGTATGACTTTGCCTTGTTTTGGGTAATTACTAATTTGTTCTTTCCAGTGTACCATTTCCACCGTTTACAGTGGTGTCCATTCACCCATCTCCATTGACCAGTTCTGATGAAATGAGTTTCTTTCCAGACACATTCTGCAGTGTCTTTTGCATTTGAAAATTGAAATCCTACCTGAATTTCTTTCTTAGTCTTTGTAAGAAATTTCTTTCCTAAGAAAAGCAGACTTGAGGAGATTTGTCCTAGAGTCTTTGTCAACTCCTTCTTTCAAAGGATGTTATTGCTCTCTTTTGTGTTTATGTGTGCCTAATGGACCCAGAAAAAAACAAAATCTAGCAAGGCAGAATGAAGAAAAATGATCCCTTATTACAAATAAATTCTCATTCAAGAGAAGAGATTAATCTTTTGCCTGTCTAAGCACCATAAGGGCCTGCATTCAAGTTCACCAATATTATATCCCCTATATGTGTATAAAGTTCTGGGTTACTTTCCTTCATTTAGTACCCTCTTCTCTTCATTGGTTGTAAAAGAAGTCTAGAGTAAATCAGACAAAGGCATCTATAAAATTAAGATCCACAGCTGGTTGGATTACTCCCAGTAGAAGACGACAGATGCTCAGAGGAACGAATCAGTATTGCTAATGTGAAGTCAATGGAATTATGACCTACATCAGCTATGATCAAGATAACAACTTGATATTAAATTCAAAAAAAAATCAAATATTTTTGACCCTTATTTGATTTGTGGGTTCTCATCCACTCTTTTGTCCTCAATTATAATGTCTTCTTCTTTCTTGAAATAAGCTCATTAAGTTCTGCCTTTCCAAAAATTCAGGACTTTCTTCAGAAGAAATTTCCTAGTAGTTCTAACGTTTTATAAAGCTACTTTCTTACCTCCTTCCTTGGAACAGAGGGTGATTAGAGTGTGAACTGTATCCATCAATTCAAGCTGCTGTTTCTGCAGGACACTGTTGTTGCTTGTTGCCTTGTTTAACTGCTTCTCTAGTTCCTGGATTACGTAGCTTTGTCGTGTGACCAAGCTTTGTAAGTTCTCTTTTTCCTCCTTCAAAGTGTCCAGCTCCTCTTTATGCCTTTCTTCCATTTCTAAAATTCTGTGCTCAAGTAAACTAAAATGAAATAAAACAATTAGTAGATATTATTTCATGCCAACATATTTATTAATACAGAAAATGGAACTGTTTTATTTTTCACGACAGAATAGCACCTATACCATTTATACTAAAAATGTCACATCTGATTTTTTCTATTAGGTAGTCAAATATAACTGATATCTAAGGTTCCATTTTGTGATGCTTGTTTGCTGTAGTGCTTAGAGCAAAATGCATGGAACTGTGTATCTAGTTGTTACATCCATTCAAGTACACAACGCATACAGCCATTAACATTTGTATGTAGAAGTTCAGGCACAAAAGCCTAAGGTAGGAAAAGGAAGGAGAAGAACAAGGCATTGAAGAGGACATCATTGGTAATATGGATATGTCAACATGATAAGAGATAAAAATCAGGGGTAAACTAAAGAAGAACAAAGGGCCTTGCCACTGAATGGAAGATAAGCATTAGGAGCTATGGAGTACCATCAAGGGATATGGAACCCACAGTAAAAGTAACATTTGATGTGGTCTGTGAAGCTGGGAAAGGAATTGTGCAACAGATGAGCGGTAGGTAGCTGCTTTCACAGTAAGAATAGTACAGTTTCCCCAAAAGGTAAATCAGAAGTTTGCATTTTAAGGTAGGATTCTCTTGTTCAAGACCAGGTTGGACGGGCCTTCGAGCAACCTGATCTAATGGAAGGTGTCCCTACCCACAGCAGGGCGGTTGGAAGTAGATGACCTTTAAGGTCCCTTCCAACCCAAACCATTCTGTGATTCTATATCCCGCCTCTGCCTTTTCTGGTTCCACAAAAGGCTCCTCAGACAAAAAAAAACTGTTGGGCATTATACTAGGTGACTTGCTTACACCAATTTTTATAAATAATTTTACACATGTATGGAAACACTTTCTCCTGATTAATATTCTTTTTTTAGTATCCTCTCTGTCTTGAGTCAGAAGCATAAAATTTACAAAGATCAAAAGCATATCAGATTATATCTAGAAGAATAGAGGAGTTGTAGACATAAAGGACAGCTAATATCTGTCAACAGTGAACACGAATTTTTTTCGGGCCAGTGCTTTGATGCTGTGGTGGGAGTTTAGCACAAAGATTTTATTAATATTAGATAAAGACATTAATTCTATCCCTCTGCTACTTTCTGTTCAGTAATTCTACTGTGTATGCCAAAAGAGGTGTTTCTCATGCCCATAAACCAACTGGTGGTTACAAACTTGCCAACAAACTGCTTCCTGTTCAAGTCAGTCTTAGGTTTTATTTATTTGCACTCTCCCCCCACCTTTGTTTTTACTTCTGGATAACAGATCAGTGGCAAAATGCCTGCATAATTTCAGGTCATTTAACCTAACTGAAGAATGTAATAAAATCCATATGGAGTTGTTTCTACTAGATACCACAGAGCCTTAATACGAGCTGTTACGAATGATAACAATGCAAAGATTAAATTCAGGCCCTGGATTTGCTGTACAAGCTAGAGTAATATAAAAATTTTTTTCTTTTTCTAAATAAAAGAAACCACGCAGCAAATATCTTTTTCTGAAATGTTATAAATGTGGGAGTTACAAAGATGCTGAAGAAAATATACTTTGTAATACCAACATATCTAGTTCTGTGAAAACGAGAAGGATCTGGCTATAGAGGGGAAAAAAAGATGGGAAGGGAAAACACTTTTTTGTGGGGTCTCAAACGCAAAGGTGAACATGATATCTCATTCTAAAAGGCTCATTAATTAGTAGCAAAAGCATAACAAGATACAGTGGACTTGAACCATATGATAGAAAATTTCAATCTGAAACAACATATGGATTTTGAAGCCAAAGACAATAAATCATTTTAACACCTTATCAGACATATAGATGATTTTTTCATCACTTGAACTCTAATATTAAACACTATGCCTTTATGTTCTAGATTCACATGGATTTTCTTGAGAATGTTTATGTGGAAGTTTTTGAGCTTTGTTTTGCAGAGGGTCAAACCAATAAGTTTAGTTAGGCAGAAGTGGTTGAAAATGCTCTGATGGAACTGGGTTTAGTCACAAAATACTGCTCAAAAAAGTAAAAAAATGTTCTATGGGAATTTTATCAGTTCTGTCCATTTTTTCATAGAAGTTATTGAAATGCTCATTTTGACTCTAGATTTTAACTTTTCTGTTGGACTATAAGTTATAACAACACACTTTGAATAGGAACAAGGTGGGCCCTGGGCACAGTTTGTGATAGAATGGGTGCTCGGTGTGGCTACATCCCAGTCCAGCATCTTGCAGTCCATCGAAAGTGTTGTGCATTGTCAATGTAAGAAAAGATGCCATTCTTGCAGCCAGAATATTCCTTTATAGTTAAATGGTAAATAAAGGCCAAAAAAGTTCCCTTTATCCTTGTCCATATCCTAGTACAGTACAAGGCCTTTCCCTAACTCCATAGCATCCTGTCTGTATGTCCATATCTAAACGATTTCCATATCTGAATGATTTCATGAAAAAGAAAGACCCTTTGCCAGCCACAATTTGTTCATTGCATTATTTGTTTCCCACCGTAGCCTTCCTAAGACTATATTAAGTGAACCCATGGTGATGACAGTCTCATTTGTAGCAGCACTGGCCATGTCAAACAAGAAGGAAGAAGCTGACAATGTTTAGAGCTTCTCAGTTTGGTGTCTACAGAGACAGACAGCAAGCAGATGTTTTATGGCTTTGGTAATAATACATCCTAATATTTATGAGTAGTGTGTCAACATGTGGTGGAAAGACGGGAGTGTCCCAGCACTTGGTTCTTTTACAGTTTTCTATGCAGATTAAAAGTCCCGTTATTATAAACTGCAAAACAAAGCTATTTTAAGGAATGCATATGCATTTATGCAATGATCTTTCTGTATCCATAAATCTACAACAGATAAGCATAAGTCTTGAGGATAGGACCACTCCTTGTATTCTTGGGAGAAATCCCAAACATTCATTGTGTTTTACTAAGAATCAATGAAAAACAGTTGGTCAAAGCTCCAAATAAACAAAAGCAGAAACTTCACATAGATTGGGGAATTCTGTACTGGTCTGTTCCAAAAGGAAGAAATCCTTAAACAGCATGAGAAAAGCTGCTCCTATGGCCTTTGACTCCAATGTGGACAGAAATTTTAATTTTTAATGTTAATTACAGCTCATTTAATTTTTTTTTTTTTAAAAAAAAAAAAGAGTGCTAGAAAGCTCATCAAAAAACCTTGAAATGGGTTGAAACCAATTACAAAGATATTCAGATATTTTTAACAGTTGCGAGACCACTCTGTTCTCTCTTTTTTCCTTGTGATGTCAATTTCGAATAGACAAATACTGTGAAGAAATAACTTTTCTGAGTGCTTGGTAGAGATATTTTCTCATTTTTTTAAAGAGGCATTGTGAAGACAGAGTTGAAATGAAAATATTTCTACTAGTTTTCATTAACGACTATTGTTGACATAAAATATTAAAGAAAACAAGAAGGCAGCTGTTTCTATACCAATTAATCCAACAATCTGTAAAAGTTGGCTGAAATTGTTATATATCATTCTTTTATAACACTTTCCAGGGAAGTGTTATGGGCATGATGTTATAACTCTCTTTTTTACAGTGAGTTTACTGTATACGTTTCCTATACATTTGAAATTCCTATACATTTCCTATATGTTTGAAATTCCTGTATGTTTGAAAACATCAGTGACCTAGACAAATGGAGCAGTCATTGGAACTACAATATTCACAATAAAAATAAACCACCATTCCCTAGAAGCATCATATACATACACACACACACACACACACACGCACGCACATGCAAATATCTGTGTGTTCTTTATAATTGTAGACTTCAATTTGGGGAAACAGAATGAAGTTGTGAAGAAACAAATGTTGCTGTTAACAACCAAACCCAGACAAACTTAATTTTCCTAAAGTTAAGGTTAACTATGTCTCAATGTCTAACCCACTGATCTTGGCGAGGCTAGGAATCTATTTTCAACCATACAAACGATGTGTTAATTTTGTCAGGATATCAGCCAGTAGGATGCCTTGGTGCAGCTGTGCTGTTTCCAGCTGATTCAGAAAAAGGCCTCTGATAACACTGGAGAGGGTAGAGGGCCTGTACAGAAGTCAAGGAACAATTTCCAGTGAAAGTTGTAGTCATTTTGAAAGGTGATGAAGTAGAACATATAGAAAGCACTCTGGTAGCTCACTGGGGAGGAAAGAAAGTCTGTTTTTGACAATCTGCCTTATAAGGTAGGTAATTTATTCACTAATCCATTCCAGACCACTGCAGTTTAAGAGATTTTTTTTATCTTTGTTTTCAGAGGCCTCAGTTTAGACATGTGAGAATAGGATATAGACCAGATCTTAGAGATGGACATCTTTGCATTAAAATAATCTTTTAAAAAATCTGGATATATTAAAAATACAGATAAAAACATTTACTTTGTTGAGCTATTCAATAAATAAAGACAAGTAATGCCACACGAGAAACAAATTCTTTGGCTGAATACATAAGGTTTTCTTGTATTAAGCATGTAAGGGAAGACAAACAAGTAGAGGATTTAAATGTTTACTTTTGAGTGCATGAATGGTATTTTCTCATTGAGACAACTTATTTGTACTTGCTTTTACATGAGTGAAATTTTCCCTACATTATTAGGTGCTGACCACTCATACTTACTTTGGTGGTCTGGTATTGTCTGATCAGTTTAAAGAAATAGAAAAATATATGTCCCCATATTTCTCAAGGCCAGTAAAGTAACTGGTCACTTAAATCAGTAAGCCTATTTTTTATACCAGTGACAAGATAATTCCATTGAAATCACAAAACTGAATTGAAAAATCTGGATTTATCTTTTCAGTGTATGCAAAACCTGCAAATAAAACTTATCAGACGTATTGTGTTTCCTCATCCTTCACACAGTCAGATGGAAATTCAAGAATCATTCTTGAGTCCTTGCCTTTCATATGATAAAACTGTTGTTGAACGCAACATGTTAATCTACTTTAGTTGTCTGCAAATTCAAGCTGGATTCAAATGGCACACAATAAGTTAAAGGCAGCTGGTATACTTTGGAAAAGAAAAAAAAAAGAGAGAGGGAGGACACTCATAAAGGCACTTAAGCAGGGAAATCTTTCAAGAATAAATCAAGATATTTTTGAGAAAGCTCTTGTGGGAGAAAAAATGGCAAGGGAAGAAACCACCATTTACATTATAGTGGGTGGGAACCCACAAAACTAAATTATTTATGGCATGAGAGCACTCAATAGAAACATGATTCTGGGGCAAGTGTGACTCTACTGATGCCATGGAATATCTTTCACTTCAGTGGGATAAAAGGAAAAAAATTGGCTACTCTTTCCAGCAGAGACAGGAAGTAAAGAGAAAAGCCGAGAATTGATGTATTTCTAGTCTAAGTAACATGCATTGGTCCCCTGTTAATAGGCAGTGTTCATTTTATTTAAGGATGATATATAAGTTACTGTAGTACATCGATGATCCGTTATTAATATAAGAGTTGGCATTACTTTCATCCAAAATCCAATTCCTTTAAAGTTATTAAGATTTTTTAATTTTATTTTATAGAGGAAATTTTAGCACAGAGGCAGAAATAATCTGCCTACAGTACACCATCTGTTTTGATTATTTTTGTAATAATAATAGTTCCTACACTCGTTCCCACTGTAGCGTATAACTACTGCAAAAAAAGTCCTTTCCAAAAAAGCTTACAGTCCATGTAGGCGACTTGAATAAGAGGAGTTTTCTCTATTTTATTGATATGCAAGTGATACGGAGAGGGATGAAGACATTTCAACTGAACATAGTCTGATGTATCTATACATCTATAATCTAAATTATAGGGTAATCTATAAGTACTGTTTAAAGTTAAGCAAGATAAAATCATTGGCATGTCCAGAAACCTAGTATGTGCTGAGGTGACCAAGATTTGTCATGCATAGAATTGATTTCAGGATCAGGATCTACAAGGCCAAGACTACGCAGTTCTTTGTTAGGAGTAGATGATACAGCAGCTAATGGGCCACATTTTAGTGTAATCATAACACTGTCCACTCCCTAATTTTACCTCTCCCAAGGAGAGAGTAACAGAACCTGGACAGTGCATGTCAGGTTCTTGCTTCATTACAAGATGAAACTCCGTGTGTTTTTTCATTTAACCACATACAACTATACTTCTGAGAGAAATAATTGGGTATAAAGTGTGCTTTTTAACATACCCTTCCTTTCCTTCTGAAAAAAACAAGGCAGACCATTTTGTCATGTCACAGGCTATTTCATTACAATGTCAGTCAAGTCAAAGGTAAAACTTATTTGTTTACTGACACCCTGACACATTGCTAAAATAAATAAATAAATTCAGATTACTAAATACACAAGACAGTCTCTTGAGCAGCCAATAAAATTTTATTGCTAACCAGATAAAAATGTAAATATTTATATACTTAACTAATACTTGGATTAATCCCAAACTGAAATAGGTTTGTAAAGTACATAGAATGAACAGCCTCCTCTTTGTGGGCTACACGGAGAGCCCACATATGCAGTTTAGGTGAATTACTTAATTTTGAGATGGCTGAAGTCAAAGTTAATCCCACACTAATTTATTCATATTTCCAATTGGCCAAGGGAAATCTGTGGAGTTCAAGAGTTTTCAATGTAATCCAGCTTCTCCAGAAGAACATCTGCTGAAATTACTGTTTCTAAACTGCTGTTGGACTAAATACGTTAAATCGTTTTTCATAACCAGTAGCAATAATAGTATACTATTTGATGAGTTTTGCAACTAGACACATCTAGCAAACAGATTTCTTTGTAACAGTATTTTCTGGTTTTCATCATTATCTGGTTCTTTGACTTCTTTTCCCAGTAGCTCCCTGCCCATTGTGGTGTTGGTCTTAGTCTTCCTTACCTATAACCCTGGGCAAGGTCTTTCCTCCTCAGTTGCGGATTCCTGTCGTGCAGCACTGGAGCCATGCTGCCTTTTTTTGGCAAACTGTTTGATCTCAATTTAAATTGCTTGTACAGGACACTTCAGTAACTGCCTCACTTTTAAAGCTGTTTACCTTATTTTGATGTCAAATGTAGATATACAAAACAGAAACCTTAGTCCTAGGCAGACTGACCTCACAACTGTTCTTCCTAGAAGGGAGCCAAGAGTGAAGATATGCAGTGAAAGCACTCTCTGTCCCCCCTGCTTATGCCTGGCCATGAGGCAGGAATATGAGCCTCAGGTGTCTAGAAGGGCAGCCAGGAAGGAAAATGGCTTTACCCACTGTCTTGAGTGCAGGTGCCCACGTGCTGGCAGTGGGGGCTGTGGGGTGGCCTCTGTGAGGAGAGGCCAGGGCTGCCCCACGCCAGACACAGATGGTCCCAGCCGGTCCCATCAGCTCCGACAACCCCACTGCAGAGCATAGCTGAGCCCCTCAGGCAAAGTGGTGGTGCCTCTGTGATAACACATTTAAGAATGGGTAAAAATACCACATGACAATGTGAAGAGTGAGGGACAAATGTGAGAGAAACAATGCTGCAGACATCAAGGTCAGAGAAGGAGGGAAGGAGGCACTGAAGCAGAGATTCCCCTGCGGCCCATGGGAGACACCATGCTGGAGCAGGTATTTCCCATGCAGGACCACACCCTGGAGCAGGTGGAGATGTCCAGAAGGAAGCTGGAGCCTGTGGACAACTACGCTGAAGAAGGGAAAGA